ACCCATTATTCAAACAAAATAAAGTCCCATTCCAATCCCAAATAAAAAAGAAAAGATATACGAATTAAAATACCATTTGGTAACATTCTAGAGATAGCCACACACAAAAGACAATAACAACGGATAATGCATAAATATCTCTGTGTTGGCTTCTCCCTTTCCCCATTACAATGAGTATCCCCACTGAATTAAGTAAATTATATGTTATTCCGCTCATAAATAATGTGAACGCAAATAAAAAAAAGAAAAGAGATATTATTTACCAGAACCACACAATTGCAGAGTGAGACACACCACAAGGTGCACAGCAATAATCTGCTTACAAGTATAAAAATGAAAAGAGATTAGGTATTTCCACACAAATTTATGCACCTCATTCCAGTGGGTGTCATCGGGATTAATTTTCTCGGTGCTCAGCTTAGTGAACACAGTAGCAATTATATTATTATTATTATTAGCAGTAAACAAGTGATTGCCAACACTCTCTGGAAGGGACCCCACCACAGTGCCCAGCACACAGAGAGAGCAGCAGTGGCAGTGGCAGTTCCTTTGTATTTATTCCACAAATATCAGCAGCATCAAGAGAGCGCTGTTTATCTTCTTTCTTTTCCTTCTTCTCAGCAGCTTCGTCGGCCTGTTCGGCGGCTTTACAACACGTGAGAGCGTCATCATAGTTCTTTCGTAATTCGATTGTTATTTCCAATATTTTCTCTGCGATTTAATCCCTCTGGCTGCTGTTAGATTTAACAATTGCATGCATAATATCAACATAGGGGAGATCATGGTATAAATTGTTTAGGGAAAAGTCAAGTATGGAAACTGTGGTTATTCCGGTTATTTACACATAATTCTGTGGAGGTTAAGAAGTTGAAAAACCAATCAAATATCCACCCACTCAACATTTCCTAAAGCAAAGAGCGTCAATTGTCAATTTCTTTGATCGAATCATAAAATTCATGCTTATACTTATTACGAGTGGTAGCTACCTCTTTTTCCAATGCTGCCATTTTGGCAATTCTTTCCTGGATCCAATTTACCAATTTTGCATATAATGACGTCATCCTTTCNTTAACCTGTAATTCTTCCGCGTATTGTTCACCCTTGGGTTTGAAATGATTCCACTTGGCTAGTGCGGAGTCGTACACCTGTTTGGCCTCATCCCACGCTGCACGATCATCTTCTTGTTCCCATTTATTTAACGCTCCCACGGCCCCATTCCGGGCATTGCGAAAGGTTTTACCATTGGATTGTCCTTTTATATGATCACAAAACACTTCTCTTGCCCTTCTGAGCTCCACTGCAATGTTGTCATAACCTTCTGCCTTGAGCTGAAAATACACCCACCAAGCTTTGCAATCCAACTTATCCCATTTTATCCAATATAGAGGGTAATGGGTGTCAATAAACTCTTTTGTGTGAGCCAACTCTGC